TTATATATATATATATATACATATGTAAAATTAAGCACAAAAATGTAATATGCTTAAAATGATGGCTCTTCTAGCTTTAAGCATAGTATGATTTTTAACTAGGAGCTCTATACATGTTAAAAGTTGTGTCGGTCATCTAACACATTTGTGCCTATTTTTAGTTTTGATAAAAATTTCGAAAAAGGTGAAATATACATAGCGAGGTATTAAGATAAAATAAAAAGAAAGGTAATATAATTCATCTATAGTGAGGTATTAATATAAAGATATAATTTAGAGCAAAAAGTTAATTAGTTGTGTTTGATAGTTGAAAGAGAACACAACAATCTATTATAAAGATGATGGCTAAATGGAGAGAATAGTGTTGATGAACTCTCTTTTCATGTTCTATTATAAGAACATCTTCCTCTCTACCTCTCTATGTTGTTTACTTGATTGCGACAGTTGGATGTTTTACAAATAAGTATTATATGAATTTATACATTGAGGAGTTCGTCTTCTAAGTTTAATGATCAATTACTATCGAAGACTTCTAAATCATATATTGTTACTCTTGTGGTAGCTTATAATTAAAACTCTATGTTAGCCTATATTTATGTGGAAACATGTATTTAAAAATTTATAGTAACCTCCATTTATGAGATTCATGTTGTTGAAGTGAGCCACTATTTTATATAATACAAAAATTTGACTCCATACTTAACATTTCCCCACTTTGAGTTTGAAAATTCTAACATATTAGAACATTGAATTTGATCATATTTATTACGTGGCATCGATATATCATCATTTGCAATTGTTAGCTAAGATCTTAAAAAAAAATTAATTTTTTAGCATGCACAATTTTTGGAAACATATTAGAGAGATTTTTTGAGCATTTCATTTTGATGATTTATGAGGCATCTAGCTGTAGGCAAGCCTCATTTAAGAGTTCTTTAGTTCTATTCACTTTACTTATGAGTGAAACAAATTATTCTTGTTAAGTGAACAGTGCTAATTTATTTTCTTAAAAAACACTTTAACAATACAACCTCCTCACTAGTTTTAGTGATTGCTTCATATATAATTTTTATGATTGATAGTGCAACTAGTTTACGATGTTATGACACTTGGTTGACAACATTGCCACATAAGGAGTAGATGCATAAAATGATACTTCTCATATCTAACTCTCGTTCAAAATTTCAATCAGCATATAGTTACATATATATATATATAATTTTAGGAATGACTAAGTGTAGTATTTAGATAGATACTAAGCATTTACAACTTCCCAATATTTTCTTCCTAGTTTCAACATATATCAATTGATTGCTTGCATTTTCCTTGTAATATCACATCTTGTGTAGATCACTACACACATAAAAAATATAATAATTAAAGCATATGGGACATCCTCCATGTGCTCTTTCACTTATTTCTTTTTTGGTATATATTCCTTGAATAATTTGAAGTGGCTAGTAAGTAAAGCTCTTATAGTCTTTGCATTTATCATATTGTGCTTGTCTAATACTTTTTTGATTATGAAAGAGTTCATATACATGTAGTCTTATTATATTTTATTCACATTTCTAGAGTATTTGTTGCTTCTCTCAAATCTTTCATGTCAATGATAGTTCAAATTATTAATCTCTTAAGAAATTAACTTCTATGGTATACACACCATTTACATATTATAATACATGTTATTCATATATTATAATAGGATCTTACATTCTTAGTGATGCTTCTTATGTAACCCACATTAATTCCTATTACATATGTGAAAATTGATCCTATGAATGAACCAATCAAATTTTTATAAAATAATTTATTTGTATAGGTTTATTCATAACATTCAACCTCTCATGCACTTCTAAGAAACATAACATAACGTAAAAATTGAATAACAATTAATTGATTTTTGAGTGCATTACGACTTTCACACTTGAACGATTGGTACACAGAGCTTGGGTTGCTTTTGAGTTTCTTGACGTGACCAATTCAATATGATATGAAGTTGATGTATTTTTAATAATAATATTTTGATTATTTTTATATAATATAAATTCATTAAAGATGATATTCTTTTAATAATCTTACCACCTTTGCTTTCACAAAATATATATCCAACTTAATATAACATATCCAAACTAGTAGCGCTTCCTCGATATTGGATTAAGTTTATTTTTAGTGATTTGATAAATGTATATCTATGCGGCTACATAAATTTATCCAATTTAATATAACCTTTTTGTAACATTTTTCTCTCAGTTTGATAGCAGTCTTTTAGATTGTATGTAGAGGGTTTATTTAGATGATCATTCCCGAGGGTTCTTTCTAAATTCAAAATTCTTCCAATTAATTTCCCTTTTTGCAGATTAGTATTTTCTCTGATAGTTGCAAGAAATTTGTTCATAAAAGAAAAATCAAGGTTTACTAATTCTTGGGTTTGGTTCTCTCTAGGTTTTTCAAGCTCATGCTTAAGCTCTACAGGTTTATTCTCTTGTCAAGGGATATCCTCTAACTCCTTCCTTGGGGCTTCTCTTATGGGTGGTCCTACTGGCTCAACTATCTCCCTAACAATGATAGGGGTTGCCTTGAAAAGAAGAGTAGAATCTTCCTTAGTCAATGTCCAACTAAATCCATCCAACTCAACATGCTCTTAAGGACCAACTCTTCAAATTCAAAGTTATGGTCCTCAACTACCCCTGACATCCCTTGGGGTTCATTGTTTAATAGGTTAGATAACTACCAAACTTGATTTTCTATGTTTCTAAGGGCATCAACTTAGCTGTTTAACTCTTTCCTCAGATTTATCACTAGTTTCTCCAAATACTCATTTTCTTTAGAGCAATCACTATCTTGGATATTCCAACTTCCTACAGGATCGACTTGGGTGCTCACTCATTGATGGTTGTCTATGTTAGGGTTGTTATTGTTCCAGTTAAAGTTTGGGTAGATCGACCAAATTTGGGTGTAGGTGTTGGGTTGATTCCTCAAATTTACTATCAATTATTCTAACGATAGATTATCTTCCCTAAATTAGGGTTTCGAGGTGACTTCTCAAGGCTGAGTTTGACAAATATAGTCACTCCCCTAGTTGTTCCAATTTTCTATAGGGTTAGCTTGAGTTCTCTCATAATGTTGTTTTGCTACACAAATGTCATCAATGTTCCAATTAGAATTTGGGTATGTAGTCTAGTTGGGGTTGTATGTACTGGAAAAGGGGTGATCGAACCTAGCTCCTATGTCATGGGGGTCAAAATTCATGTGATTGCCAGCCATCAATAGATCAGAATACTCCTGAAAATGTATAAATTAATTTTTCTGAAGGTTTGCCATTTGGTGTTCAAAATTCATTTGAAAGCTAGTCATCGATGGGTTCGTATACTCCTGAAAAGGTATAAATTGGTTTATCGATCCATACTGTTGAAACATTTTTTTAGCTTTTTGGTGTTTTTATTTTTTTTTTAAGCTTTGTTTATTTTTATTTTTCAGTACTTGTAAAAAAACAAAGCCACGATACAAGTGCCAACAAATGTAAAATAAACGGAAAAAGAAAAAGAAAAACAACTAAACCTAGATTCTTAGAAATTCAACTAAGTTCTCATAAAATCAGAATTCTTTTTAACACATTTTTCCGACAACGACGCCAAAAATGTGACTCAACTAAGCTCTGGAGGAAGGCCTGTTGTAGAGAAAAGCTTTGAAGGAAGACCCGTTGCAAAGAAAAGCTTCAGAGGAAGTAGTGCTACAAGGAAAAGCTCCAAAGGAGGGTCTGCTACAGGGAAAAACTCTATAGAAAGGTCCACAACAGGCAAAAAATTCCAGAAGAGGGTATGCTGTAGGGGAAATCTCAGGAAGAAGGCTTGCTGTAAGGAAAATCTCTGGAGGAGGGTCTGCTGCAGGGAAAAGCTCCGGAAGAGGGAACAAGTTATAAAAGTAGGCCCGCGGCAGGATAAAGCTCCAGAGAAGAACTTTAAAGGTCCTTAAATCAGTGAAATTGTTGCGTAAAGTTTCACAAGAGTGCTGCACCTGCCTATGCATGGAAAGAAAAAGCAAAGAACACCATCCTTTTTTAACATTTTTCCTGTAGAGGGCAATGCTAACCATGGTAGTAGAAGCTCAAGGATGATTGAGTCCACAACTCTGTAAAATTCATCCTTCTCCTTGGATATCCCTTATAAAAACAATAATAAAACTTCCCAGCCCATTCACATTGAAATCTTCCCTAGCCAACACTGCTACTTGCTAATGAAAATCAAATGTATAGACATGGACATAAGGTGCAATAACTATAGCAAGGATAGTTAGAAAACCACTACTAGCATTGACTCCAATAACACATAGTTCGAAACATTTTCCAAGTATGATATCACAAAACTAATATCAGTAACGTATAAAATTTGAGTCCTGTGACTGAGAACCAGAGTCCACAACTCAGGTTCTGGAAAGAAGAGATGAACAAAACCACCCTTATTGTTGAAAAACTTGGAACCAAAAGGTTTCCCTATACAACCATAATGCATAAAAACTCAATATCTATTATGGGAGTTAGGACCCTCCTTTACTTTGATAGCTTTCATGTTAT